CACACCTTTCTGCCAACAGTCGCTTATATCTCCCCCGAACTTCCTCCTCCCTTAGTTTATACACTTTCACCTCCCTCTTACTTGTTGTTGCCACCTTCCTCTTTTCCCATCTACCTCTTACTCTAACTGTAGCTACAACTAAATAATGATCTGATATATCAGTTGCCCCTCTATAAACATGTACATCCTGGAGCCTACCCATCAACCTTTTATCCACCAATACATAATCTAATAAACTACTTTCATTACGTGCTACATCATACCTTGTATATTTATTTATCCTCTTTTTCATAAAATATGTATTACTTATTACCAAATCTCTTTCTACACATAACTCAATTAAAGGCTCCCCATTTACATTTACCCCTGGCACCCCAAATTTACCTACTACTCCCTCCATAACATTTTTACCCACTTTATCATTGAAATCCCCAACCACCATTACTCTCACACTTGATTCAAAACTCCCCACACATTCACTCAACATTTCCCAAAATCTCTCTCTCTCCTCTACACTTCTTTCTTCTCCAGGTGCATACACGCTTACTATAACCCACTTTTCACATCCAATCTTTATTTTACTCCACATAATCCTTGAATTAATACATTTATAGTCCCTCTTTTCCTGCCATAGCTTATCCTTCAACATTATTGCTACTCCTTCTTTAGCTCTAACTCTAATTGAAACCCCTGACCTAGTCCCATTTATTCCTCCCCATTGAAACTCTCCCCCCCCTTTTCAACTTCTTTTTCACTTAAACCCGGGCATCCAGCTTCTTCTCATTTTAACACCACAACACCTTTTTCTTACATTTGCACAACATCCACGCACATTCAATTTCCCACTTTGAAAATTTTTCTTCTTCTTATTTTTTTTAGTAATCTTTCGGGAAAGGGGTTACTACCCATTTTTCCCACTTTTTTATTTGACTTTTACAACACGCATGGTTTCCGCAGTCTTACAGAGGAAAGCTTCTTTTTCCATTTCCCCAAAATAAAAAGAAAATATTAAGACCAAAACATTAAGATAAAATAAAAGAAAACCAGATGAGTGGAAAATAACATGTACAGTATGTGTAGTGGACCTAATTTAAGTAGAATACAAGACGACCTGTAATCTGCTTTTTATGAACAGACAAAAGCACCAGCAATCCTACCACTTAAAACAATTACAGTTTTCATTTCACACCACTTGGCAGCACGGTATACCTCCCTGGGTGGTTGCTGTCTACCAACCTACTACCTAATCCACCTAATCTACCTAACCACTTTGAGGTGATTAAAATCAAAGGAAAATTTTGCGCTCCCTTTCCCCCTTGCAAAAAATTGGGGAAACATTTACTTTTTTTAATTTCAATATCTGCTTTTCCGGGAGGGTGCAGATATCCCATTCACATTTTCATGAAAGCACCATCCCTTATCCCACATAAAAATATAGGGTAGTGAAAAAAGTGGAAACTTAAAAATTTGAAAATTTTTATGATGGCAGATGTACAATTAAATGGATACTGAGAGACGGGAAAAGACAATAAATTTTTTTTAAGCAAAAGATAATGCCAAAAATAACCCGGGTAGTACAGTGGGGAGTGAGAATAATAAACAATGTATGGTAGAGAAGTCAAAATGACGTGACAGATGCAAAACCCCCTTGTTGTAAGGAAAAAATTATTTACAATTTCACCACAAAAGAGCAAAATAGGAATATATTTTAAAAACACAGTCTTTTTTTTTTTTGTCCAAAATGGAGTGCAAAAACAAAAAAACTCTTCCCATCACATAAAAAAAAAAGAAACTAAAATAAACCTTTCCCGGCATCTAATTTCTTTGGTTTTTTATCCTTTTGCTGCCTCTGCGACCCTTTAAATGAATTGGAGTCATCAAAGGGATCACTGGGAAAAAGTGTAGACTGTCTTCATTTTTGGGCCAAGGACCTGATAGAGGATTAAATTAATTTAATACATATTCAAAAGTTTTAACAAAAATGATCAATACCCCTTCTTCATTTTTATAAATTTTATCTCCAGATATACATTGGAACTTCAAAAATCGAACTGCTCCCAACACAACCAATTATGTAAGTGTATTTTTGTAAGTGCTTTTATAAGTGTATTTTTGAGGGTCTGAAATGGACTAATCTAATTTACATTATTCCTGATGGGAATAAACTCATTCGGTAAAGGCACTCGAACAGCCTTCTGGACTGAAGAAAGTTCGATATTTGAGGTTCCACTGTATAATATTCTATTTTCAGGTATATAATACTGACAAGTTGAGGAATTAGATACACGTGCAACAACTGGGTATAACCAGGTGTGAAGACCCATGTCACATCTACCTCCACCAGGTGAAGGTAGCTGTGTACTGGAAGGTGGGAAACTCAAAGTACCATAGCAAGAAGACATGGGAATCATAACCTGTGTGCTGAGTGAATTAAAAATTAATTGCTAGAATAACTTACTGACTAAGACATTAAGTGCAGAGGATTTTTAATTATAGGCTCTGACAAAAAGTCCTATATCCTAAGGAAGAAACCAACTTGTACTCATCTCCCTACTAGGCAGAAAAATCTTGTCACTGTATACATATTCAATCATACCAAACTCCAAATGTAGTGCCCTAACCAGCCTAATGCAATCCCGAGCTGACACCTGTAATCCAGATACTTATGTGCATGCAGCTCTACCAATGTCAGGATTTAATCCTTAACCCTTTGCCTGTTTCAGCCATATACGTATATGTATACGTCTTAAGAGCCAGTGTTTCAGACGTATATATACTCAATAATTCTAGCGGCTTCAAATCAAGCAGAAGAAAGCTGGTAAGCCCACATGTGAGAGAATGGGTCTGTGTGGTCAGTGTGCACTGTATAAAAAAAATCCTGCAGCACACAGTGCATCATGAGAGAAAAAAACTCCGTGTTTTTGGATAAAAACGCCAACTTTGAGGTGTATTTTCCTATAGTATTTATGGTTGTATTCTCATTTTCTTGGTCTCATTTGATAGAATGGAAAACATATTACAGAAATAGAGATGATTTTGATTAGTTTCACAATGAAAACGACTTTGAAATTGAGTTCAAAATACAGAAATGTTCAATTTTTACCGAAGTTCAAGAGTAAGCAAATCACACTACATGTCCAATACATGTCAACGGGGGAGTCTAATATTCTTTCACTAGAGCACTGATATTATTTTATACCATTTTTACAATAATGCAGTAGTCTGCATAACAGTAAATCTTCTATTTTTTGAGTGAATAAAAAATCAAGATAGAAAGCAAGAGTAATATAAGTGGGGCCTGGAGACATGACTAATGAACAGAGGATATGTTATTTTAGTGCCAAGAATGTTTGCATTGTTTATTCTGGACCCTATTTTGAAATTGGCATCTTTTTTAATTTGCATGAAATTGGCCAAATTGCCAATTTCTGACCACTTATTGGGTAGTTGAAATTGGTAAATGGGCAGTTTCTTATACTCAATTGATAGAAAAAATATAGTTCTAAAGAAATAGTTATGAGTTTGGTTGACTGGAACAATGGAATTGGCCGAAAATAGGGCTCAAAGCCGGCGAAATCGCCGATGCATATATATTGTTGAGATCGCTAAATTCGCAGGAGTGTAATTCCATAAGCTTTCAATCAAATTTCGTACTTTTGGTGTCATTACTATCGAGAAAAGATTCCCTATCATTTCATAAGAAATTTTTTTTTTTTTTTTTAAATTTTTCAACACCTGGAGACACTTTAGGATTTGGGGTTGCGGCAGTCAAAGGATTAAACGGTCCAAACGTAGATCTACATTCACTCGCTTGGTGCTCCGAATATTTTGAAAAATAAAAACAATTTTTTTTTTAATGAAGAGCACATTTTTCTACATGTTACAGGATTAAAAAAAAATTTAGGGTCAGTACTTACTGAGATATAAGACCGTGAAGTTGGCTCTGGATGCTCACCTGATGGCAACATCAACTCCTGCCGCTTGCAGAAGTTTGC